AGACGTAGCCAATAGGGCACAACTCACTTGCACAATAAAGTCACTGCCGGCCGCCCGACCCCCAGGGGATCGGGGGCATCGGTGTTCCTGGTATCACAGGTTATGGGCAACACGCAACCACTGAACACGATCCGTCAACCACCATCCCCCATTCACGGCAGACGTTAACAGCCGATCACCAAGTGCAAACAGACGAGCCGGACTGCAATACCCTCCGACCCGATCACCGCAACAGCCAAAACGAAACCCCAACATGAGTAACAGCACGCACACACCGGGCAACCTGCCCCAACTAACCACCATCAATTTTTCCTATTGGTACGACGCGCTAGAAATACACGCACGAACAATAGACGCACACCCACAACTCACCAACACGATCCCATCAACAACAGACCCGACAATCCAAACAACACAACAAAAAAAAGAAGACCAACTCAGAAAGGCGATCGTGCAAAGCCTCAGCCCAGAAGTAGTCAAACTCCTTCCCCCCTCACGTACTACGATACAACCCGCATACTATATGCACGATCATCAAACAAACGGTCGACACGTGCTCAATCGAAAACCATGAGCTGCTGGACGCCGAAGCCAGAAACCTCAAGTACACAACGGGACAAGAGATCGCAGACTACATCACGAAACACCGTGAAATACGACCCAGAATGCAAGTGTCCGGCTACCCCAACATCGAGGCAGAACGAACAACTGTCAGATACATGGTCCAAGGGCTCGCCCACCACCCCGAAATGCACGCATTACCAATATTGATGGCATGCAACCCACCCACCACAATCAGGGAATTTACCAACCACCTCCAACAGGTCCAGCTGATCCAAGATCAAGCTCCCAAAATGCAGTACCCATCCATGGAAAGACCAACTGCCACACACGACAAACCCATGTAGAGCAACAGAACCCCGCGCACCACCAGAACGAGAGCCAAACCACGCCACTACGAAAAACCGAAAGGACACACCGGAGTATGGTGTCACCAGCACGGTAGTATCACGCACAGCACCGAAAACTGCTTTGCGCGAAGAAATCAGAACATACAGCGAACTGCAAGAGCGAACCAAGCGACAGCGAGCACTGACAACGAGCCCAACGACAGCGAAGTAGACGAGCTGCGAGAACGTCTCCACTTCCTGGAAGGCGTGATCGAAGAACAACAAAAGTCACACGACTACGACGGTAAGACCACATTCATATTAGACTCTGGAGCTCAGCCCACGCATACCGCCACACCCCACGCGAACATGCACCTGAGCACGGGAACACTAACCCAAACCGCAAACGGACAACGCGAAAAAATCACGCACACCGGCACAATCAACATACAGACGAAGAATAACAACCTACGACTACCCGCCGTACACACACCAAAAATCAAAGAAAACCTACTGTCAGTACATGACCTCACCGCACATGGGGACGTAACATTCACGCGAACGCATGCGCACCTCCACCACCGCACACAACTACCGCCCAGTCTGCTCACAGCAACGTACAAGCAAGGCCAATACCGGACACAAACCACGACCAAACCAACGGCAAAAGGAGCACGTACTTACACACACAAAAAAACCTCGATAAACAAACCGACATCACACACCAGACCCACCACTGTCCCAAGCCAACAGCAACGCACGAAAACGACCAGAAACGACAACCCTTTCTCAGCAAAAACCAAACGAACCCCCAACCTCCGAACGGCCATCGGACCCAAACAAACAAAGGCGAAACAGAGCGAGACACAACAACGCCTCCACAAATGGCACCTCAAGCTCGGACACGCCCACCCCAAAACACTGGCAATCATGTCCAAAAACGGACTACTCCCAGCCCTCCCACGCGGGATCACGGACACCAGTGCCCGAATCACCTGCAGCGGGTGCATACACGGGAAGACGACAACCAGACCACACCGCCGAACAACCCACACGGCAGGAAAAGGGGAAAGCCTGTCATCGGACGTATGCGGACTAATTAAACCAACGTCCACACACAACGCCAACTACTTCCTCAACCTGATCGACACAACCACCCGATATATATGGGTGTACTGCCTGAACAATCGTGCGCAGGTGCCAAACACAATAATCAATGCGATAGAACACACCGCAGCACAAAACGTCCAATACCCACGTCTCCTGGTCACAGACAATGCGAAAGAATATCTCGCAAAAGCAGTACAGGAACAACTGCAGATGAGGGGCATAAAATTCAGACCAACAACACCATACACACCGCAGGAGAACGCGCTGGCGGAACGAATTAACCGCACACTTATGGAGAAAGTACGAGCCACACTTTCACACAGCCGACTGCCACACGCGCACTGGCAAGATGCACTACAAGACGCCGTCTTCAAGTACAATCTCACCTACCACCACGGGTTGAAAGGAATACCGTACACGGCATGGCACGACACCCCATCGCAGATACAAAAAATCGTCACCTTCGGACAAGTCGGATACACGCCGATCCTGAAACCAAACGCACCCAAACTGCAGAACAAAGCAACGCCGGTACGCTACATGTTCGGAATCGACGACACGCACATCTGCGTCCAAAACATCGTCACAAGACGATACTCCAAAATGCGAGCATCAGACTTTCGGCCATACCACCGGTACAGCGACCCCTGCAACACAGTCAACGCGGCCTTTCACGTCAAACGCACCACACGCCGCAAAACACAAGCGAAACAAGCACCCACCAAGAAACCACGCACACGGAAACGTCAAGCCAAACCGGTGCCAACAAAAATTGACGAAACAACGCGGCCACCCAAGACCCTCAAGCAGGCGAGAAAATACCCGGACGCGCAAAAATGGAGCGCAGCGCACAACGCCGAGCTCGACCAACTCGACGCCATGCACGCCATAGACTGGACATCCCAAACGGTAAGCCCCAAACGGAAAGAAATAATCCCCACCACCATGACATATCGATACAAACATGGACAGGACAAAAAATCCGTAACGCGCAAGGCCGGGTGCTCGATCCGCGGCGATAGGATGACCCCCCCACGTGCACTATGACCCGGATAAAACAGCCACTTACATGGCAGACCGCACAACAATCAGAACACTGTTCGCACTTGCAGCATCCATGAACATGGCAATCGAACATTTCGACATTACAGGCGCGTATCTACATGAAAAATACCAACACGAAAAAAGGTATACGTCTGGCAACCCCAACGCTTCGATGGCACATAAAAGCATCAAGCAACACACGGAGAACTTAGAGGCAATTTGTACGGCACACCGGCAGCTGCAAACATTTACAGCACCAACCTACACAGCCACCTCAAAAAATATGGTTATGAACAAATGAGATCCGACACATCTCTGTTCATCAAAAGGCAAGGCAAACACATCATACTGATCGGCATCAGTATGGATGACTTCCTGCCCATAGCATCGGACCCAGCCCTCATCGATGAGCTGTACCGCACAATCAAGCGGAAATACAAGGTCAAACGCATGGGGAAACCAACAAAGTACCTCAACTGGACAATCCGATTCACAAATGAGGGAATCCATATTTCTCAGCCCACACACATCGACAGTGTGGTATCCCTCCTCTCCCAAGGGCAGTGCAACAAAAAGAGCACACCGTATCTGGATGGCATCACCATGGACCCGCCAACAGACAGCGAAGCAAGGCGCGAAGACATTGAGGACATCTTCGCAAAAGCGGTCGGGGAAATACGCTACATCGCCGACAGTACGCGCCTCGACATTGCCTTCGCAGCCACCGCACTCGCCCGAGCCCTCAAGAAACCAACGAGACGACACTGGAATCTTGCACAACGGCTCACCCAATACCTGCACACCACTCGCAATGAGGGCATCATGATGCCCTCCACCAACAGCACGCAAGTGCAGGTCAAGGCTTACTGGGACGCCGATTATGCCAATGACCACAGCACCCGCAAATCAATAACGGGCATGCTCACAATGGTCAACAACGCACCCGTGCAGTGGCTGGCACGGCAGCAACCGGTAGTCGCGAAGAGCACCTGTGAGGCGGAGTACATAGCCGCAGCGGAGGCCACCACCCTCACAATATGGCTCCAAAACCTCATCAGGGAAACGCGACTACCGACCACAAGACCAACCCTGCACGTCGACAACACCGCCGCCGTGCAGATGGCAAAAAGCATGGGAGCGACACGACGACGCAAGTGCATCGACGTGCGCTACCATTACCTGCACGACACTGTGCAAAAAGGCGAAATGAAGATCGAACGCATACCCACTACGGAACAGTACGCAGACATCTTTACGAAGCCGCTCAAGGCGACCCTATACAAAAGGCACAAAAACCACATACAGATCCGCCCGAAAGCAACAAGTGCAAGCCAGCCCTCGCGTCAGGGGGAGTGTGGTTCCATACAGAACCCACAAACGACGCTCGGCCAACCTGCACAAAAACACGCAACCAAATGGTTCCATACAGAGACAAGTAAGTCACCCACCTACGATAAGACGTAGCCAATAGGGCACAACTCACTTGCACAATAAAGTCACCGCCGGCCGCCCGACCCCCAGGGGATCGGGGGCATCGGTGTTCCTGGTATCACAGATTTAACATGGACTATCTTAATTACCGTGATCGGTGTACTCCCTCTCTCCCACATCTCCACGCCGCCTTCCGCGCCTCCCGCACCTTCTTCTCGCGGCTCCGCCTCGCAGAGGGAGGGAGGCACTGCGTGTCGAGGATAGGGCGGGCGCAACGGAGGCAGCAGCGCGCATTCGGACGCGCACGCTTCGGGCGGGCGGCGCGGGCGGCGGGGATGCGCGCGCTTTGAAAGGGATGCGCGTATCGCTGCGCACGGGCGAGAAGCAGGGCGGCGTGGTGCTTGTGCTGCGAGTCGCGCGTGGTTTGAACGGGAAGCGTTTGCGGACGGAGATGCGATTACGGATGCTTGCGATTACCCTTCGAAGGGTATGGATGCGAGGAGGGGAACGTGAGGTGAAGAAAGAATGAATCAAAAACAGAGCAGAAGAATCTCCCGATTGCTCTGCTCCGCAGTTTTTGATGCATCACAGGGAGAATGCCCAGCGATGCAAGCTGCTCCCTTTTTTGCCCGAAAACAGAGTCTTCTATCATTCAAACTCGACACCCGTCATGGCCATCTGTTCACTCCCCTCTTTCCTATGCATGTTGGACCCCACTTACGAGCGACAGCGCACGTTCCGTTCGCAATTGGGTCTATGGTCAAAGCCGGCTTTATCAGTCTCTGCGGTCCTCGACTCACCTCCCTAAACTCGTCTACAATTTCACTACACCGCCACTGTGTTCTCGCCGCATGCTCCCGCGCGCAGACCATGTCGATTCCTGGCATTCCGGCCGACCGCGCCGCCCGCAACCGCCCGTGGGTCCGCACGAGCAATGTGCACAACGCGCTGCTCACGAACCACTTCCTCGACTTGCTCGAGGTCCACGGCGAGGCGCACGGCCTCATGCGCGATGACGCGTACCCCGGCTACGACCCAGCCGGCTCGCATGCCTTGCGCATGCAGAGGCTATCGAATGAGTTTCGACGGCAGGTCATGGGCGCCTTCGCGAGACGCCTTGGGGTGGCTGACGTCGCTTGCATCTCGCCGGGGCCGGTGACCGGGTCGGCAACACTGGAGAGGGAGAGGACGGAGGAAGCGATAAGAGAGCGCAGGCCGATGATTGTGGGAGGCGTCGTTGCCGATGAGGAGTGCAGGCTTTTGGCGAGGATACCGATGCTTTTACGCGTGGATGTTGCGGAAGATCTGTTCGGTTGGAAAGTGAGCAAGGAAGAAGACGCGGGTGTGAACGATTGCATTTATATACCGGTTGGGGTAAAGCGGCGGCCGTTGGAGATAAACCGGGAAGGTACAATCCGTGGCAACGCGCTCGCCCGCATGCAGGCGGAGATGTGGTTGTGGAACCGTTTACTGGGCTCCGTTCAAGGGTACGAGCTTGGGACGGGCTTGCTCGTCGGCTTGCATCCGAAGCGGAGAAAGGCAATTCCGTTGGGCGCTTTTGTGAACGTGGTGGAAGACGGCGTTGCGGAAGGGATGCGTCCGGTCTTTGATGAGACCGTCTGGCGCGTCGCGAGAGTGCCTTTCAGCGACATAGAAGCCTCATACGGTCAAGAAGCCCAGGAGGCGTTGACGTGGCGTGTCAATGTCATTGACAAAGGTGAGGCTTGGATTACTGCTGCCATGGAGCGTGCAATACTGGACGGGAAGGGGGATGAGGGGAACGGGATAGCGCATCTTGCTGCGAGCGCGACGGATCCGCGGCTGCGGCCAAACATGAAGTGCCCAAGCATGTATGATGCACCGTGGTCCAAGGCGAAGCGGATGCTTGCCGAAGAGCTACGAGAAGTGACGATGGTGTCCGGCGTGAGCTACTGGGCAAGGTCGGAAGCGATGGGAAAAGGTGTTCCAAACGACTTTGCCCATCCTCGCGTCACGGCGGAGGAGCTCGGCATCAGTTCGCAGTTTACAAAGACCGTTCTGGAGATGTGCAAACCCAGCTACCACGGCCCGCTCGTGAAACCGAAGCAGATCCCGCACAACTGCTACAACTGGCGGAGGCTAGAGGTCTATGACAAGAACAACAAGTTGAAGTTCGACAAATCAGGGCCGGAGCTGCAGTTTGCTGACGAGCGGACGTTTTACATAGATTTTGAGCTGGCCTCACCCGAGCATCTTTGCGTCGAAGTGGAGAAACGGAGAGAGGAGACAGCAGAGCAGAACGGGGATTACAACCTCTACTTTGACGTTGATCCCTCGGTGCCCATCCAAGAAGACTCGACAACGGATTCTCTGGTGTTCATGATCGGGTGCGGGCGCGTTCTGAGCGGGGAATGGGAGCACCGAGTGTTTACCTCTGCGGCGCTGACGCAAGTGGCGGAGAGCGCTTTGATCCGTGAATGGTTCGAGTACATGGACTCGGCGGTGCCGCGGCAGGCGAAGCGGCCGATTCTGAACGTGTGGGGCCCGGAGAAGAACTTGCTGAAGAAGTCCGTGCGGCGGATGTGCGGGGCGGACGCCGAGGCGGTGAAGCAGATGCGGCACGTGGAGGTGGTGAACGTGCTGGACGTGATGAAGACGGGGTGCGTGACGATCCGCGGGAATCTGAAAAACTCGCTCAAGAGCGCGTGCTGGACGCTGGACAGGCACGGGCTGCTAAACGAGTTTGCGCGGAGGGAGGACGAGGATGTGGTGACGAACGGGGCCGACGCGATGACGCTCGGGTTGCACGCTGCGGAGGTGACGGTGAGGGAAGGGCTCGGGTCGCTGAGGCAGGCGCCGAAAATGGGGGAGGTTGCTCGATACAATGAGGCGGACTGTCGCGATATCGCGCGCGTGATCACGTACTTGCGCAAGCATCACTGAGGTTGTCAGTGACGTGAGCAAGTATCACACGTACATGGTGGGGTTTTTTTTTTTTACGGGGGGAGTGTTTGGAACAGGCGGGGGCGACCTTGTGTGAGTGATTTTGCATCGGAGCGAGAATACAAAAAGGCAAAGAGCCAAGTGGTGGAGCAAAGGAGTGGAGCGGACCGGGAGAGAGAAAACAAGTTAAACGATTGTTTTTATTAGAAGGTACATCTGCGCATCACCACTAACTCGGTTGGCAACTCACTCCCTAAGACGGCGGCCCGGCCCACCCGCACCGGCGTTTCACGCGGAAACAAAAGCAAAACAAAAACTGTAAGGGCTCTCTCTCAACACGGTGGGGTGGGGTTGACGCAATAGGGGTCAGTCCAACTCGCCGCTGGCCGTGATGATGGCGAAAATAATAAACAGGATGCCGCCCACGAGAGCGACGGCCTTTTCCGAAATCTTAGTAGCGAGCAGCCTGCCGCCCACGACGGCCAGGCCGGTACAAATGGCGTGCCCCAGGACGCCGCCCAAAATGACGCCGTACAAGTTCCTCGATGCGGCAAGGGCGATGGTAGCGATCTGGCTGCGGTCTCCCCACTCGGCGAGGCCGGTCATGGTGAAGGCTTTGACGAAGATGGGGCTGAACAGGGCGAGGGCGGCGTGCCTGGCGACGTGTGTCTTCTTTGCGGGGTGGTCATGGTTGAGCTCCTCCTCGACCTCTGCGAGCTCCTCGTTCTCCTCGGGGCGCTCGCCGCGGAGGCGCCACCAGTCGCGGAGGAGCTGGACGCCGAAGTATGCGAAGAGGAGTGCGGCGGCGAGGCCGGTCCAGCGCTTGTCGAGGACGAGCGGGAAGGCCTTGCCGATGGCGGCCGAGAGCACGGTCATGGCGGCGAGGGCGGCCAGGGCGCCGGCCCACACGACGAGGCGCGACGAGCGCATCGCCAGGATGGCGGCCACGAAGAAGGTGCGGTCGCCCAGCTCGCACGCCAGGATGAGCAGGAACGACTGCGCAAAGCCCGTGCCGAAGGCCGACTCGTCCGCGGGCAGGGCGTTGCGCACCCAGCCCGGCAGCAGGTCCATCGGGGGCGCGGCGGCGGGGGCGGCGTGCGGTGCGTGCGCTTCGTGCGCGGCGCGCGCGGGGGCACAGCG